AAATCTACTTACATCTACTCTAATATAATAAAATGTTTCTTATTTATGTGTTGATTGCCAAAAAATCCTAATCGGAATACAAGGCTACTTTTGAATGGGCTGTCAATGGAAAAACAACCTTGACCCCGAACATTACTACTGTATCTTATTTAAAAAATCTCATCCGCTGCTGCCATTGCTCGCATACAGTACGACAATCCAAATGCTGCATATTCAAGAAACATGAAGCCCTCTTTTTAAGCTTCACGCACTATGACCTCATTTCCTGTCTTGTGCTAAAATATATGCCCTCAGGTGGTCTGACCCCACTCATATCTCTTCACTGAGTCAATACAGGGCTACAGTCACACCCGTGCGCCCATCACATTTCATCTCAGTATAAGAGAGTTGGCGTAGGAGGCTGGCATGAAAACACAGATGTTTTTTTCACAGCCTCGGCTACAGGAAAGAATGAATATCTTCCCTCCTCCGTTTCTCTGACTGTGCTAAGGCTGTGTATTGATTAAGACTGCAATGCGACGCTTCACCTAATCTAATGTCATAATGGGGACCTGGAGGTGGCAATCATACCCTGAATGCCAAACAAATCAAGCCGATTTACACACATGCACATCCGCATTCATACTTCATTCATGGTTCATTCTACAAACTGATCACTTTGTTTTTAAAGCAACATGTATTTACAGGTTTTGAATTTTTTTTTAGACAAATCAAACTTACCTCTGTCTGAAATGGCACTTTTCAGCTAATTTATTTTGTGAAAAAGCAGTTCTTTTATTTCATTATTCATTCATATCATTCAAGTATGAAGCAATTCTTCAGAGTAAATTATTAGTGAAATCATTATTTCTTAAATTGAAAAACACATTTGCACACATGCACATCTGCATTCATTCATCATTGATTCTACAAACTGATCACTTTGCTTTTAAAACAACATGTATTTACAGGTTTTTATTTTTTCTTGAGACAATACGTAAATGTGTTTACTAAATAAAATTGTACTTTCAGCTAATTTATTCTGAGAGAAAGCAGTTATTTTATTGCATTATTTATTTATTCAGATCATTCATGTATGAAGCCATTCCTTTAGGGCACCTTATTAGTAAAATCATTGTTTTTTAAACTGGAAAAAAATACACATTCACACATTCATGGTTCATTCCTGATCCCTTTGTTATTAAAATAGCATGTATCTATAGGTTTTAATTTTTCTTAAGTCAAATCAAATTTGTTTTGAACTGTGATCGCACTTTTCAGCCAATTTATTCTGTGAGAAAGTATTTATTTTATTGTATTATTTATTTATTCATACAGATCATTCATGTATGAAGCTATCGCTTCAAGGCAACTTATTGGTATAATAATTATTTCTTGAGTTGAGAAATGCACATTTACACACATACATCTGCATTCAGGGTTTATTCTACAAACTGGTCACTTTGTTTTTAAAGCAACATGTATTTACAGGTTTTTTTCTTTAGACAATTCATTTATTCATATGCATTTCTTGGTGAATTGTGCTTTGAGCTTATGTAGTCTTATTTATTTTGTTTGCATTATTTATTTATTCAGATCATTCATGTGTAAAGCAACTGCTTTAGGGCACCTTACTAGTAAAGCCATTAAGTCTTGAATTCAAATGAAACAAACAAAATCTAATAAAATGAAAAAGAATATAAACATTAAAACTAACAAAATTAGATTTAAACTATGCAATTGCAAAAAAAGACAAGACACTACAAAAGTTGGTAGCTTTTGAATGATTAAATCTCAGTGCTGGTAAACAAAGAGAGCAAACAAGTAACTCCAAACAGCATCCCACATTTCACAATCCAATAAAATGTCTTCACTTAAAGCAATTTGTTCTTTTTCTATAAACACTCCACCCAACATCATCTCTGTCTGTTCTACCGTGATCTCAGGTGCGTAGCGGTCACATTGTTTCAAGTCTTACATCGGCATTACATGCTAGATGGATGAGACGGGAATTACCTCTGCCCCGACGCGGTCTGCAACTGGTGACCAATAAAGTCATTATCTGAACCGGACTGTGATGTCTCCTTTATTCTTCCCCTTCATGAAATATGCATGAACATATTTTTCACTCCTGAGTGGATGAGCTGCTAAAATATACATTCAGTCAGTGTGACTGTCTGAATTATTCTTAACTTCCCATTTACCTGACTGTGATAAAGTGCTTCATCACTGAGCTCAATTGCTTTTTGGACAATTGTTTAAGTGTAGGGGATACAGAATCCATCTTAACATCATCTACATTTTTATTTTGTGATGACTTCATGTGATATCAAGCAGTGCAGAAGGCCATACTATGTCATTTGTGTGGCGGTTTTACGTTTCTTGCACCAAACAGTCGCAATTTAGAGTTACGTGACCACATTAGCAAAGATTTGGCACAATTATGGGCAAAAAAAAGTCCATTGTCTGTTTTCAGTAGTGTAGCGATGTATAAACCACAGTTCACACAGAAGTCACTTCAAACTAAGTAGCTTTCTGCTCAATTGACCAACAAGTGACCATCTTGACACAAACCTGAAGAGAAACTGTGTAGATTCTCATTTAAATCACTTTATTTTGACTGCGAAAATTCATCAAACAGCAGTAAATGTGACCACATCTTCAGAAATAAACTAGTTGTTTGTGGTACTGTACCTTTAAGACTATGCAAATGACCTTTGTCGTGATTGGCTAAACCCTTCGCTTGTAAAACAAATCATAAATTCAACTTATAAACAGCAGATCAAAACAACATTTAAGTAACCAAAAAGTCAGCCAGAATGCACCAATTAGAAGCTAGCAAAAAGAAGTCACGCTTACTACAGGATGTTAGCATTGCAACATAAGGAAAACATTAGCAATAGCATTATCACTTCATTATAAACATTTATCGACACCTCACATATAGAGTAAAACCCATTAGCGTTTTGTTTAAAATATGTTTAAGACTTTCTTTAAAAAGTCAATGTGTAATCTACATGATACATCTACTTCACTTTCTCTTACTAAGCTAATTGCTAACCTTGAGCTACATTAAATTTAGGCAGAAACAAACTTGATGACTTCTAATCACATCCTGTTTTAAGACTTCCAGACGCATATCACTTTCAAATGTCCAGTCTCTGCAGATCAATGAGAGGCAGGAGCAGAGGAAAGAGAAAAGACGCAACGACGAAATTTCAGAGTAATCCAATTACATATTTATGTTGTCAGGGACGCTCTAAAATTTCATCAAACAGCAAAAGGAATCAAGCATCTACTGCCTCAGCTTAAATTGATCTGTGAACACTGTGTACAAAGAAACAAATGAAAAAAAAAAAAATCCACAATTGATATCTGATTTAAATGACTGATGCTCAAGCTAAGGAACAATGCAGTAGCCAGTCAACAAGCGCAATAATATACATTACAAATTAGATCAAACTTTTTTTGTATCTCACAATCTCTCCCTCTCCAACCATTTCTGTAGTTCTATTTTCATAATCTCTGCTGCAGATGAAGTAGTGGTGTGTCTGATCTCTTTTGCAGTTGAAAAGGTGAATGCTTTCTTCAGATAAACACGACACCCATTATTTGATCCAATTACAAGTCAGCTATATTTAGTATCTGTAACAGATACTCAATTATTAATGAGACATGAAACATAAGATAACCCAGTGGCAGTATTTTTGAGACTCAAAAGGAGAAAATCAGCATAAACACCGATAAAAGCAAATTAATCAGTTTAGGAGAATCCGGAAAAATATTTCATCTACAGATCCAGTGATTCAACACTATTGGAGATGCTTCTGAAAAGTCACATTTCTATTCACATTCATATAATAATCAGCAGTTCCTGTTTAGTGCTCAAGAGACCCAGATGATTATTGATTAGCCCTCAAAACAGATTCAATTACAGGCTACTAAAAGTCAGCACAGCAGCCAAAAAGTGTGTGCAAGTGAATTCCTTCGGAGAACGCATTTGAATCACTCCATGAGATTCAAGAAGCTACCATTTGCTTATTTTTAATGTTTATAGCAGTGGGGCATGGACAGCAGGGTGAAAACGATGATAAATGCAAATTATAAAATGTAACTAGCCATATAATCATGCATAGTTAAATTGAGCAAAGTATGCATAAACCATAAAAAAAAATGTGAAGACTCTATGCCTACATCCTACGTCATTCGTTGGAACACCACTCTCTTGTGAACGCGCGTACGACAGTTAGCGGAAGCTAGAGATTGCGGTTTATAAAGTTTTAAATATCGATATTCTTAACCCCCCGGAGCCACGTGGAGCACTTTTTATGATGGATTGATGCACTACTCACTGCTGTGTGTGTGCACTTGGATGGGTTAAATGCAGAGCACAAATTCCGAGTATGGGACACCACCTCACATCACTTTCACTTTATTTTGCTTCAAAATCTTGACCAACATTCACTGCCATTATAAAGCTCGGAAGAGCCAGGATATTTTTTAATATAACTCTGATTGTACATTCGTCTGAAAGAAGAAAGAAACTTTTTGTTATTTTGGTGCAAATTCATCCCTCACTTTAAGACTACACTATATCAAGCAGATGCCAACATGGCATGCCCTCAACCTTGAAAACCATGACCAAATCTATGCAAAGTTCAAGAAAATACACCCTAGACTACATTAATTATGGATTACAACTGCTTCTGTGGGTCCTGAAGCAAAGCCACCGAACTATAGTGTAACATAGACAGAAATGATCTTAAACAGGCGTAGGTTGCGATCCAATCAAACTTTGTTATTTTAGTACACATTTACTCTCACTTCTTTAAGACTACAACAAATCAAGCAGAGGCCAACATGGCAGGTTGCATGACATGCCCTCAACCTTGAAAACCATCATCAAAGCTATGTAAAGTTCTAGAAAATACACCCTGTACAACATTAAATAAGGATTATGTCAGGTTCTGTGGGTCCTGAAGCAAAGTCACGACTTATAGTGTAGCATAGACCGGAATTACCTTAAACAGGCGTAGGATGTTGGCCACCATGATGGAGACGGAGCTTGCAGCCGCGCCTATCACGCCAATAATCTTGTCCGGCTTTGCAAAGATGGGCTGCTCGCCACTAGCGCATCGCACATCAGTAGAATCACGCTCGATGAGCGCCTGCACAAAGGTAAGCGACTGTTCCAGGGCGTAGGTGTCGCGCGAGCAGGTGTCTAATATACGCGCCCCCAGGGTCACGTTGGGCAGCAGGTCGGGGTCTTTGTTGATGAGGTCGATGGCGAAGAGCATGGCCTCTAACCGATGAATACCCTTCTCCTTCTTCAGTTCCCCGCAAGGGGCGCCACGTTCACCCCTAGAATGCACCGGGAAGAGACCTCCCAGGATGATATCACCGTCCAGTCGTATAGAGTGGGCATTTTCGGGAGCAGGGGGCGTCAGTGGATCCGTACGCTGGCTGACGGATCCGGCCATCCCTGTCAGCAGAAGAAGACAGCCATACCATTCAAAGGCAATCACCATTGCGGCATAAGGTGGATCCAGACACACAAGCAGCAGTGGGGACGCGGTTACAAAGGTGGGAAGCCAGCAGGGACGGAGCACAATAACCGAACGGGGTCATCAGTGCCCCTCACTGGAGCATCTGCGTACCGGATAATGGAATCTGGTGACAAGGAGACCATTGGATTCCCCTGGAAGTTTTGGGGGGCAAACGAGGAAGGGCGCCGCACAAATGAGATGATGGAATATGAGGCAATCACATAGTTGTTAGCTCCTCAATACCAGAGGTCACAGACCATTAGAACCCTATGTGAGGGGGAACAGCAGAGGAATATGCCTTCATCAGCAAAGATTGGGCACATTATTTATCAATCAATCAACTGCGAACCACGCATTGGACGTGTTAAGAAATACCAAAAAGAAAAGAAAAGAGTTTATTATTTAGAAGCTCCTTAAAGACTGTGACATTCAAGTTACGATCACTTATTCTTTATGAGTCGAAAAGGTGCGCGCGATGCTATATGATAGTGTCGTTGGAAGAAATATGTGTTACTGTTCAGACTGATACATGCAAAACTGTACGTAGAAATATCAATTCAGTGTGGCTTGACAGCTGGTTTGAAGAGATCAAGCCGTCCAACAGTCACTGCTGTGAATTATCCCACTGCGCCATCTAGTGTAAACACTATGGACTTACACAGAGCATTCCTGCATGTATTATTGCTAAAAAATAAAACTATTGAAAATCAACAAAAGTAATAGAATAATAAAAAAGATAAATATAAGAATAAAACGAAAATTAGAAATGCTGCCTTGACAACTAACTGAAATAGGCTAATTTGATGCACTAAAATTATGTTGTACTAAAATTGAAGTACTAAAACTATAAATGAAATAAAAATAAATGAAAGCTAAAGAGAAATATTTAAAAAATAATGAAAAAATAATATTAATAAAACAAAGTAATTTAGGAGGAATTTAATGTGATTTCAATCTCAACAAATGTTTAATATTTTATATAGTAGGCCTATGTTAAGACATAGTTTGATATTTATACTGGGAGGTTAAGCCTAGAGGCCTGCAGGCAACATTTTGCAGTGACAGTGACACGTCTAAAAAATTATTAAATAATAAACAAACCTACCCCTGAAAAATATACACTGGAGCGAAAAGCGTGACCTCAGCCATGAAAATGCACTGCATAGAAGGAATGACTGGCATCTAACAGAAAGTGGGTTTTGACAGCAATAAAGCGCAATAAATCCTCTGCAGGCCTGTGCAAAGTTCAGTATATATATATATATATATATATATATAGGCTATTTTATTGACAGATTTGTTTTTTTTTTTGTTTTCCTAGTCTACGGGTGTATTTACTGTACTTGATCAGCTGTTCGCCCATCTTGGCTGAGCTTTAGATCACTATTCGAGTCTACAAGTAAAATAACGAACTTGAGCGTGCAAAAGACTCGAGGTGAAGAGCCGACGCTCGGTGTGCGTGAGAACGGTTTACTCCCACTGACAATCGCACATGGGCTGCAGAGACGCGGTGGACTTTTCACAGACAAAGGTGTGTGCACGTGCGTTAGCGTGGTCATGTTTGTTCCACATTGCATTTGTAAGAGCAGTTTGCCACATCCACAAAATTAATAGATCTCTATGGGCCTCTGCTGGATGTATCTGGTAGATTTTTCTGTAACCAGCAGATGGCAGATTTTTGCCCCAACAACCTAGATGAATATCCAGAAACAATTTTGATGATCATTATTAGATTTTTTTTTTTTTTCATAAAAATGCATGCTAATTGTGTGATTGAGAAATTTTGTGGTAAATGGATAAAAAGTACTTCACATCCCCCTAAACAGCATAATCTGTATTAAAATGAATTTCAATAAAAAATAGTGTTAAAAGTCACACATTATTTGTTGTTTGTCACATGTAGACCATTGTTGTGCCATAATAGGCGGATTTCCACCCAGCTACCACCACAAGTATTTCAAACCCGAGGGAAGCACTGTTGTGCCTCATCAAAAATCATATAAATCTGATTTCCCGCCCCATATGCAAATAAAACAATATAAAGAGTTCGCTTCCGTGATTATGCGATTATCGGATGAGTATTTTGAGTTTCGTGGTCTCATCTGAGTTTACTCACGTGTGGATCGCAGGACTCACAAACATCCGTATGCTGCAGTAATTCCAATGGGGAGGAGTACCGTGTATTTATGTGGCTTATTAATGCGTGGCCGACCAGCTTACACACGACCCGAGGTGATTTCTCCTGCATTACTTTAAATGAGTATTTGTGGGTAAGATGACGGTCAAATTTGCAAGTCACTTATTCAAGTTTAATATAATTTCTAGGCTAGCCTATATAATTTCTGTATGTCAGATTCACTAGTTAGTTAATGAATTCGAATGAAAACTTTAAAGGGATAGTTCACCCAAAAATGAAAATTCTGTCATTAATTACTCACCCTCATGTCGTTCCAAACCCGTAAGACCTCCGTTCATCTTCGGAACACAAATTAAGATATTTTTGATGAAATGTGAGAGCTCTCTGTCCCTTCATAGACAAGCAACGCAACTGAAATGTTCCCAAGTCCAGAAACGTAGTAAGGAGATCGGTAAAACAGTCCATGAGATATCAGTGGCTCAACTTCAGTTTTGCGAAGCTACGAGAATACTTTGAGCCAAAGAAAACAAAAATAACAATTTATTCAACAATTTTTCTCCCCCTAGTTGTCTTCCGCCATTTTAGAGTATCACAACACATATGCAGGCTTTCCCCCAAGCATAAACAATGCTGATTAGCAGATTACATTCATGCACGCGCTTTCTCCCCAGAATGTAAACAATGCTGATTACTTCGATTACGCTCTTGGGTACTCTCCAAAATGACGGAAGACGTAACTTGGGGGAGAAGAATTGTTAAAAAAAAGTTATTTTTGTTTTCTTTGGCTCAAAAAGTATTCTCGTAGCTTCGCAAAACTGAAGTTGAGCCACTGATATCACATGGACTTTTTTACTGATGTCCTTACTACGTTTCTGGACCTGAGAACATTACAGTTGTGTTGCCATCTATGCAGGGTCTGAGAGCTCTCATCAAAAATATCTTAATTTGTGTTCCGAAGATGAACGAAGGTCTACGGGTTTGGAACGACATGAGGGTGAGTAATTAATGACAGAATTTTCATTTTGGGGTGAACTAACCCTTTAAGTGAATGTTAATGGATTTGTTGTGTGTGTGTGTGTAGACACAGACAGACAGATAGATAGGAAGGATATAATATACAAAAGTTGACAAAGATTGTGTTTGTTATCTTTATTTAAACAAAACATCCTACTGCAAGCAAGGATATACCAGGATTTTGCAAATAAAAAGGAGTGTGCATCATCAGAATGGATCTAGGTTTTGGCGTTTGGATAAAGCCCTATTGTACACATAAACAAAGAGTTTAATCAAGGCATTCTGCATGCACCCCAACTAAAAGAAATTGTACTTGCAATTTACTTGCTCAAAAGCTTCATTATAACTATTTATACTTGAAAGCAACGATGAAAGCCATCTACTAAAACTTGAAAATTATTTTCTCATTAGCTTTAGTTATTAGTAGACTACCAAACTAAACAAATACAGTAGTAGTCTATTTTATTTTAGTCACAGTTGCAACCTTTCGTTAAAGACAAACACAAAGTTTAAGCGGTTTAAAAAAAGAAATATCTGGGCTCTCAATTAAGACACATCCTGAGCAGCTTAACACGTAGGCTTCGACTTAAAAGGGTAGAAGAAATATAAGTACATTTCTAACAAATTAGCAGCATTTCAATCCATAGTTGATTAGAGAGGTGAATACATGGCAGGAAAATATGAAGCAGAGTTACATTAACTTATCTACTTATGAATATTTAGCATTAGTTAGACATGCTGTATGTATACAGAGCAACCTCCTATGTCTGTCCATTGTCCATTTATAAAACATTCTTTGTGTATTTTTAAACTGTCGGAGAGAATACAAAAAATAGTGGTATAATCCGTTTACAAATTAATCAAAATTCATTTTGAGAGTTGTTTTTTTGTTAACACCAGTAATCAGTCAAACTCATTCAAAATCAATTGAAGACCAATCACCTTTTAGAGGGTGCATACCATTTCTTTTACAACAGCGCCCTCCTGTGTAAAAAGCTGGAACAACATTTTTGGTGCACTTTTTTTTTTTTTGTCTCATCCAACCCCTTTATGAAAAGGTTATCCTCTGTTTTCTACCCACATCCCTTCCTCTTCTTTCACATGGAGATAAACTCATCCATGGAGTCCAGTGCAAATGTGCTAAGTATTCAGTCATAGAAAAACAGTCTAAATGGACAGAAAGAAAGAGAAAGTCAGAGAGAATAAAACGCCATTCATCATTAAATATATACCATACTGAAGTCAATAACAGGACTGATTTAAAGGGAAAAGTATGTGTACTTTCTATAAGTTTGAAGATGTTAAAGGGATAGTTGGTTCTAACGTCATGTTCAAAACCTGTATGACTTCATTTCCTTCTACATTCTTCAAACAATTGTCCTTTATTGAGATTACAGGTTTGGAATAACAAGAGTGTGAGCAAATATAGCAATTTTTTACTTGTAGGTGAACTATCACTTTAAGGAAATGGGCATTTACAAAAATTCTCAAGCATCACTATTCTGTGGGCAAAACCACTGGAGGCTGCCAGAAGTGTAAATGGTCAGGCCAAAACGTGTAAAAGTTCACCGCATCTACATAGCTATTACAGAAAGCAGACGATGGGGAATGCCTCTCAGATACTATCTGTAGCCATGAATTTAAATTAGAGAGTAATTTCTAATACAGTGACTTTGTCTGAGCATGTGATGAGAAAAATAAGCACTAGCTTGGATAACAAAAATAATAATTGAAACCAAATATGCCCAATCTGGATCCCTAGAAACCAAGTTTAAGAAATGAAACTAAATCTTTATGTTTTCTGAAGAAAATGTCAGTATTGCTTGCCAATGCAAAACCTGCCGCAGCAATGCTAGGGTGAATTTGAGTGGTTGCTTACTGGCCAAACTTAGTCTTAATACTTTGGTTTAAAGCAGAGCTCCTCAAATGCGACTCTGGAGAGGGCACATGCACTGCAGGGTTTAGCTCCAACCCTATTCAATGACACCCGAGCAAGCTAATAAAGTTACAGGTAGGTGAGTTTGATCAGGGTTTGAGCTAAACTCTGCATAGCAGTGGCCCTCCAGTGCCGGATTTGAAGAGGTTTTAAATCAAACCTCCAACCATAAATATGAGGAACCGTAATAGTGATGCTTGCCTAAGAAAGCACCTCTAATAAAGACAAACACTATGTCCTACACAGTCTTGGAAACAAAATCTTGTGAAATGGCTGAATGTTTGATTCTGTAGAGCATCTCATCCATTATAGTCTGGAGGAATGCTCCAAGCATATTAAGGCATGAAAGCTCACATCAGTTTGAAAGGTTGCATCCAATTATAAGGGATTGTACCTTCATAGACATAGTCCAGTCTTTCAAGATCACTATTTTTGGAACACTAAGTAGTGCTTTCTTAGGAGTACTTAAGATAGCTGGATAAAATATTTACAAAGTATTATACGGTGTTATTTACAGGCTGTGGTGCTCTGTAACTTGTTAGCAACAGCATTTTGAATGAAATTTTTACATTTTCGGGAGATAATGTGAGTGGTGCTTCACAGTACAAAACTCGCCACCATTAAGCCAAGGCAGAGGTATCCCATCTTGCTCCTGGAGGGCCGCTATCCTGCAGAGTTTAGCTCCAATCCTAATTAAACTTACCTGAACCAACTGATCAAGGTCTTCAGGATTACTAGAAACTTCCAAGCAAGCGTGTTGGGGCAGGCTGAAGCTAAACTCTGCAAGACGTTGGCCCTCCAGGAGTGGGATTGGACACCCCTGTGCTAAGGTGCACTGGGTGGTTGCCAGGTTGTTGCTTTGCCGTTGCTAGGGTGTTTCTGGGTGCTTAATGTGGACTTGCTAAGTGGCTACGTACTTGTCCAAGTCAACCACAACCTCAAGTCTGTATGATACGCTGGTCCCTAGGTATGGCTCAGGTCCCTTTTTCAATACAAGTCTAAGGGAATTTTTCCCGCCTTTTTTATAAGCCTAATTGCTTTAAAAAGTAATAACACACCACAAAGCAACACACAATGTGGGGTACCATTAATGTCCATAAAGCGAAGAGAGTTACGAGTTACAACCAAAAGTTTAATGCTTAGGGTTAGGGGATTAAGGCTCGCCTTAGCAAGCAACGATAATTATCTTAAGATGCTTTTTGAATGCCATAACAGAGGAGCAACCTACCAAATGAGGGCCTTTGATCGAGTGCTTCTTCCTTGTAATTTGTCCCCACTTGCGATGGCAGTCCAAGGCAGGCATAACCTTAGCCAGATAGCGCGATGACTTCTTGTGCACCACTGTGATATGGCGGATGACGTCGCGCTTCCGGCGTGACTCGTATCTGCAGATGGGGCATCGGTAAAACTTGATGTAGATGCTGTCATTCCCATCGGTGTGCAGTTCGGCAATGTGCTTGCCCAGGTTCTGACTGGTACTGAACTGACGTTTACACAACCAGCAGTAGATCCTCTTAAAGTCAAAACTCACACTGTGGTTTCCATCATCTTCTGAAGCTTTCGAGATAGACTCTTTCTTTGGGTAAACCTTATCTCTTCTCTCGTACTTCGATTTGGCCTTCTGAGAGCAGTTTTCTAGAATGGGCATCTTATGGACGATTCGCATGTGCCGCCTAAGCATTAGTTGGGAGCTGTACTTGCGTTTGCACAGCTTGCAGCGACAATTTGTCAGGTTGTACTGTGTCTTGTCTTGCTTCAGAGGAGAGCTTGGTGCTTTCGCTGGAGAAGGAGAAGGTAGACCTTTTTGGCAAATGCCCGGCCACACATATCGCATGCGTGAAGGGAAAAGTTTTTCGTTACCCTAACCTCCGTGCAGGTCTCCTGGCTTCTGGTGATGGGTGGCCCTTTGATAACATTATGACTGCGAGTGACATGAGGGTTCTTGGATGCTTGAAGGTTCTTGTCTTGTCTATTTGGTGTAAGCGGAGACTCGAGTTTGCCTGTGTTAAGTGACGTTAGAGCTGAATGCTTTCGAGTGTTTGGAGATGTTGGGGATTCTTGTTTCTTTGCTTTGGAAGATACAAGAGGATCGTGTTGACAGCTTTTAGGAGAAGCTGGAGGGTCTAGCGTTTTATGCTTCCCACTACCCTCTTCTTTTGTTTTCTTGTTTGCACTGGTAAAGACTGCATCAGCTGGTTTCTTGACTGCCTGGTTCTCCAAGGCAGGCATAACCTTAGCCAGATAGCGCGATGACTTCTTGTGCACCACTGTGATATGGCGGATGACGTCGCGCTTCCGGCGTGACTCGTATCTGCAGATGGGGCATCGGTAAAACTTGATGTAGATGCTGTCATTCCCATCGGTGTGCAGTTCGGCAATGTGCTTGCCCAGGTTCTGACTGGTACTGAACTGACGTTTACACAACCAGCAGTAGATCCTCTTAAAGTCAAAACTCACACTGTGGTTTCCATCATCTTCTGAAGCTTTCGAGATAGACTCTTTCTTTGGGTAAACCTTATCTCTTCTCTCGTACTTCGATTTGGCCTTCTGAGAGCGGTTTTCTAGAATGGGCATCTTATGGACGATTCGCATGTGCCGCCTAAGCATTAGTTGGGAGCTGTACTTGCGTTTGCACAGCTTGCAGCGACAATTTGTCAGGTTGTACTGTGTCTTATCTTGCTTCAGAGGAGAGCTTGGTGCTTTCGCTGGTGAAGGAGGACGAGCGTCAAGTAAAAGAGGCTGGCCTGGTCTTGTGGCAATGTCCGGTGTGATCAAATCCCGCTTCAAACCACGGTGGACCTCGTCAAAGTGGCGACGAACATTGGCCTTGGTGGCAAAGGCCTTTTTGCACACTGGGCAACTCTTCCCAGAAGAAGGTGGCGGTTCAACAGGATGCTTGCCCTTCACCATAGACAGCAGGCTGGTAGGCAATGTGCGCGTCTCTGTAAATTTGCGTAACTCCTCCATCCTCTGCCAGTGCATCTTCCGGCAGTGGCGTCGTACACTGCGTCTGGAGCTGAAGTCTTTTCCACAGAGGCAGCAAGAGATCCTCATCTCCTTTACCTCAGAGGCGGCACTCTCCTCTTCTTCTTCCTCCCCTTCTACCGGCTCAATCTTTATTTGCTCTTCGCAGCTCTGACCTTCTTTAGCAGGTGGTTCTTCAGGTTCCGTTTCCATCTCCTCTTCAAAATCTGACTGTTGGACCTTTTTGGGTGCCAAAATAGATTTGTGGCGATTTTTCTTCTCAGGTACCAGGATCATAGTCTGGGGTGTATGGGCGGGGTTTTCTGGCATGTCCTGAATTTCCACCGGTGCCACTTGTTGGAACACTGCATTGGGGTTGGTCTCAATGGCCTCCAGCTGAATGACATGTTTTTCTTGGTCTTTCTGTGGATAAATGGCTTGAAGAAGTTCTTTGATAGCTTGACTCTGCCCACCTTCTGATGGCTCTGCAGAAAGTAATAGCATCACAAAATAATAATCTTATTAATAGCACTATTATATTCATAGGCCCAACTGAGTACAAATTTGAACAGCAGAAAAATGTGTTGTGCTTGTCCATGCAAAACCCGCTGTCACAAAGTTATGGTGTTGTGGGTAGTTTCCAGGGTATTGCTAAGAAGTTACTAGGCCATTGATAGGTAGTTACTTGAGTGTTCTACTTTTCTTCTTCTGTGCAACATATTTTGAAAAATGTCACTGTTTTTTGTCCATACAGTGAGAGACAATATGGTTCAATATGTTTTCGGACCACAAATGACTTTGAACATTTGAAACATTCTTCAAAATATCTTCCTTTTGTGTTCTGCAGGAAAAATAAACCCTTGCAGGCTTCGAACAACACCAAGGTAAGCAAAGACAGAATTTTCATTTATATGCCTGAAGTCTAGGTTTCATTGTTCACCAGGAAAAATTCATATGTCTGATCACTTTAATAGTCAGAGTGCTTAAATGGATATACAAACCATCTGATTGAGGTTGTCGGGAAAAGCAGTAGAGCTCCTTGTGAGTGACCAGATTTGGTAGACCACGGAACAGACTCCGACAGATTTTGCACTCAAATATGGTGTCAACCTCCTTCAGCAGCATGTGTTTGAGGTGAGCTGTACCTGCAATAACAGCACATATTGAAAGCAAGCAGTTATCATTAGGAAATAATGAAACACATTACTTTGTAATAATGAAACACAAATACACATTTACTTTTGGCATAGCATTTCGCTTTGAGTAAGAACAGAAAATTCCTCAACGCTGACAAAATTTCATACCTGGTGAAGAAAAGAAGTCTACATGAAATGTATTTACTGAATGATCAAAGTTCTGGGATTAAAGTACCTGAGCGAAAACACTCAATGATTTGATGAATTCCTGACTTGGAGGTCTGGAGCTGCTGCTGAAGCAGGGGTGGATCACCGGGCTCAACTGAATGAACTAAAACAGAAAACAACACTTTAGATTATGCTTTATGTAAAACAGTTTTCACATGAATCTCCACCATTCTTAAGTTCCACCATTCGGGTATGAGGACAGCAAATGGTTTCAATCTGCTGTGTAAGATAAGGGGTAAAAGCAACCCCATGGTAGCTGGTCAAACAGAAAGGGGACTGCCAAGCCATGGAAATACTGACCCTGCTGCACAGCCTGAACTCCACTTCCTCCATCACAAAGAGGACACCATGTCTCCTTTAGGTTTCACACCCCAAGAGCTTCACAATTCCAACAGGGATGCATTTCTATCTTTCATTTACATTTTAATTTAAATTAAAGCCACACTACTCTAACTCTACTCTTTGCTCACCTACACGTGATACCAACTTTAGTGCATGACAGCAGGATGGATTACACACATACAGACCCTGGATAATAACTATAGGAATGAACTCAATGCTTGAATAATTGCATTTTGAATGTGATTAATGCAAATGTACAAAAAAAGTAGAATTATAATGTAAAGGCATTTGAATCTTGAGGAAATCTTTTACGAAAAAAAAAAAAACTGAAAACTGAAAATCAAGTTCCTATTTTTACAAAAATAATTGTATATAATTCCAATGAATAAGCAAATAAATAAAGCACTCATCACTAATACATAACAGCAATTAATCTACAGGTGCATCTCAATAAATTAGAATGTCGTGGAAAAGTTCATTTATTTCAGTAATTCAACTCAAATTGTGAAACTCGTGTATTAAATAAATTCAATGCACACAGACTGAAGTAGTTTAAGTCTTTGGTTCTTTTAATTGTGATGATTTTGGCTCACATTTAACAAAAACCCACCAATTCACTATCTCAACAAATTAGAACATGGTGACATGCCAATCAGCTAATCAACTCAAAACACCTACAAAGGTTTCCTGAGCCTTCAAAATGGTCTCTCAGTTTGGCTCACTAGGCTACACAATCATGGGGAAGACTCCTGATCTGACAGTTGTCCAGAAGACAATAATTGACACCCTAGTTATCAGAGACGTGTCCAACAAAGACTGGAGGGAAGTGAGGCCAGAACCGTGGCCAGGAAAAATAAAATAGTAGATCTATTTCCCCATGGACACGACACAAGCATCTTTTGGTTTGCAACACTCCATAATTCTTTTGGACACCTGCAAGACTCTATCATTGTTCCTTCAGGCAACTCTATACTACCCTGATAAGTAGTGATCTCAACTTTCTGTTATTTTCTTTCCATGGACATCTACCAACTGATTTGCACCTGGTAAAACCGTTTAATGGTTTAAGGGGACTTCTGATGATGTGTAAGTTACACCTTCTCATCTGACACCAGGTGGCTGAAAGTTAAGGAGCATTTTACTATGATAATATGTGAGAATATTACACATTCATTTAAAATTGAACAGGCTATTTAAATATTTGTGTTTTTTCCCCAATTTAATGAACTTCACATTTAAATACTTTCCACATTTCCCATTAGTGGGGAAATTTTACTATAATACATTAGTTTTGTCAAAGTGGAAAGTAGAAAAGTTAGTAAATGCTGGTTTAAATTAAAGAAAATGGTACACTTAGACAACATTTGCTTCTAGAATATTCGACATTTTTTAAACACCACAAATAGCCATTTATTCATTTATTTCCACTTGTGTTTATACCACAAAGCTAAAACAATACAATTGCGATTGTCCAACATTATCAACCATGTCGCCACAAGACATTTCATTTAAATCGAACTACATTGGTAGTTCTCTGCAATAAATGCGTAGAGAAGGCATAAATCTTGATTTCACAATGCCCGTGGGTTGGCAACTACCCCTGATTATGAACAGGTATCAGCAAGAGTAGATAACAGCATCGGATTATCAAAATACATCCAAACCATGAAAGTCAACATGAAACCAGCCTTCTCAACTCATTTTACTTCTGTAATGGGATGTATTTCTGAGTGCAACAGGATATTCAACAAGAACAAAATATAGGCAGGAGTTGATTTTATCCAGTTGGAATTGATTGGATATTGAAAAGTGGGCATTGCATACCAAAATTCAGCCAAAAATAAGAGCGATTTGTAACATCAGCCTAAAAGGAAAGATGTTTTTTCCACTTTGGATTAATTTGCACTGACAAATCATGCACAATAAGACTAGAAATGTGTATTTAAAAAGGAAACAGGGTCAGTTTTGATTTCATGTTGACTTTAAGGTGCTGAGTTCCTACCTGGATTTTTGCCACAAGGCTCTTGAGGGGTTTCTGTTGTTTGGTAACAGCAGGCCTGAAGTGTCTCAGTCTGGCAGCATTTGTCACTAGTCCGGCTACCCTGATCTTCGCTGTTAGTAGCCTCCATCTCAGAGGCCTCTTTTATGAACTTAAAAGACAAATCACAAAGTTAATCAGTGAAGCCGTTTCTTCTCAATGCTTTTGATGGAGGAATGATTTCATTCCCACATGCCTCCCGAAATGGCAACAAGTTCTCCATCAGCACAAGTAGAAATTCAAAAATTGTATACACAGAACTAGAAATATTTGCTAGTAATAAGTTTACAATGGTCGTTTATGCAGGTGTTGATAAAGACAAACAGACATTACTGTCGTTGTGATGGCCGTGTGATGATGAAGACCTTTCACCGCACATTTACCAAGGAAATAAATGTCAAGATGAGGCATAACTGCTATGTGCTAAAAAGGACAAAACAATATGAATGATGGAAATGTCTGTCATGCTCAAATATAATTGCCCAGATGTAATGGAAAGGAGAATGTGAGACAACAGGACAAACTGAAATGAGATTGCATCACAGCGGTTTTAACTATTAATATATTGGACCTTTTACAAAATCCTGTCGACATGAAATGTTGAAATGTTAATCAGATTAGTATAACTATAAAATGTAGATTACTCCCAAAAAGCACATGTACGTCTGCAAGATGCATGTTAAAGATCGCTTCATCTGGAAACCATCCATTGTGTACAAACATATGATCTGATAGATCTGTTCAGTTTTACATACATTCTAAATCATAAACATCTTAAAGAAATGTTCTAAACGTCTATTTAACATCTGACAGGAAACGTCCTATAGGCGTATTGCAGATGAGCAAACACTCTACAAAAAAAAATACATCTTGCAGATGTAAATGCAGACGTCAAATAGACGTATCCGTGATGTACGCGTGCTATCAGGGCTGTGACTTTTACAAAACTCTTTAGATTCCAACAAGCAAAAACAGACAACTACACACATATCTGAGTGGAAATAAGCAAATAATCTTCATTTACTTACAAAAAAGCACAATGGTCACTATAGCTTGTGCCAAAATACCATATTAACTTACTATAGTTAGTATGTCACTACAGTAAAACTGTTTTTTTTTTTTTTTTTTTAATCACTAAATACTACAAATAACATGAACGTATTTTACATATTGTGCAACAGATTGTAGCTTTACATTTACATACATTAACATTTAATGTTAATATTTTATTTCTTTTAAATTCTTATTTTTTTTAGCTTTTGCATTCATTGAAATAGCATTGTGGTGTGACAAGTGCTTGACTTTTCTTGTCAACTATCTCTACAGACATAACTGTAAGCAGCAGTTGTGGTATTTGGGCGGAAACTGAAGTTACCATGGTAAAAGGTTTTCACTGATGTGCTTCGGTGTGTGCCGTTGTTTTAATGGAACCCGTTTGCTGATAAAAGCGCAAATGAAATCTAGAAAACGTTGTGTTGTGATTGTGAAGGACATACACCTGACCGCGCTGCCAGTGTCCTGCCCAAACATTCAAGAGGCAGGAAGTAGCGAGCGGTGCACGAAAGAGCACGTGTCCGTGGCCAACCGTACAAATGAACATAATTATGCTTCACAATAACCGCCTTCGTGCTTTTATATGACGCAATTCAGCTGATGGCAGGCAAATGTGTTCGAGACGAGTCGTACTGTGGTTGGCAAATCAATAAGTCGCGTGTACATCTTACTATCCGTGTGGACTCGTGCCTGAACAAGTAACGTTACTCTGCAAACTTCATAACAATTGAAGAAATACCAATAACACTAAAACGTGAATTTTGCGTGCGAGTGCACTCATAACAACCGAGAACGACTTGAAATGACCATCACCACCCAAAAGCATCAGAGACATTTGGCCACGTGACCGGAAAAATAATAATTTAAAATAATAGACACACGATCTGTGCCGGTCCCTCCTGAAGCTTTTGGATTAAACGCGTTATAGCATTATTAATGATTATGTTTTAGATAATAATACACTAAAATCTAGATCGTACAGTTGTTTAGAATTACGTGGTCAAGCGAGCACATATACCAGACAAAACTAGATCCATTAACATGTAGTTAAAAGAATAAATTCGCACTTTTAGAGTACATAAATGTAACCTAACTTCTTTAAAAACACACTCACAATCACGAGTCCCCATCAAAACACACTGGGACCACAAGGGGCCAAATGTGAAAGAACAACATAAAAAGTTGATACCCAAATCCAGCAGTGACAGTCTCCAAATTGAAGCGAATATATCCAACTGGGACGTCTGGATGACAAGGATAGACATATTAACACCAGTTCGCACTTTTGACTGACTTGTGATGGAAAATTGTGGATGCATGTGTGCGGGAACGCGCGAAGCCATCGGCAGCACGAGCATCACCAAGTCCACAGTTGCTAAAAAGAGGCATGTGACCACAAAAGAGAGACTGTATCCTAGACTATCCCTCAGATAACACCGAAGACCGTGCGTTTGCGTTATTCGTGGCGATTTGTGTGGTTCTAAAACCTGTTGGAAAAGCAATGGTTTGCGTTCTCCCCTATGCGCAATCTAGACACGTCGTGGCGCATACACAGTTCATTTAGCCAAACTGTTTTAAAATGTAAGCGCAGGTTATATCGCCGGGTTTTTTCGGATATTCAGGCTATTTAGCGTTTTCGTGAAGCAATTTGCATCGCTCCATTATTCTGTAAATCTCTTTTACACGGTTACATTGTCAGGCCAAATCTCCTCTATTGCGGACCACAATGGGCCAGATTAACTTGATGGAGAAGGAGAGCCCATGTGCAGAATGGAGCTTTAAAGCGGCATAAGGACTGATGCTTACCAGGGAGTGAGTGCGGCGTAAAGGCGGGCTGACGCGAGAGCCTGATACAAAAGACGACGTTGCCACTAACTTGCAGAGCTTTCCGAACCCAAACCCAACAAAATATGAAATCGCGTCCACAAAGAGTCACAAACAGAACACATTCGAGAGGACTTGCGCGATCACAGGGCACGTCCGAATGATAAAGTGCTGCGCTTTGCGGCGCTGTGCCATCTTCCCGAAGCCGCTTTGGCGCAAAGGTCTGGTGACCCTTCCGCCTTTACGCGTCCTCTCCTCTTCGGTGTTTTGTTATGAAGTGCCATATTCACTCTCAAGTAGGCCCGTAGACTTGCTCTATCTCTGCGGACAGTCGTGGCGAGTCCGAATCAACTCTCGTTCTAATTTAGGCGTTCGGAACAAGTGCGTTTTCCCCGCTTGCACAGCCAGCACGAACGGTGACGCCATTTTCTGTTAAGAACAACCACGCTCGCGCAGGATAGGAAACGACACTGGTCCGCTGCACGATTCCGGGCCCGAGTGGGCAACTCCCGCGGTCGAAATCAGCCGAGATGTGTTCGCAGAGTTCTTACCTTTAGGAAAAACAACGCAGGCTTTCGAGTTAAGATGGTCGGACGCGGTCCGGAGGTAGTTCCTCTCGCTTCTCGCGCTGACGCTGCCCTCTCGGAAGCTGTCTTTGTGCACCGCGAGGACCTCTCGGCGGAGAAGCGGCTGTTGCGCAAAGGTGCAATGGATGTTCAAGACCACCGAAATGTGGCACCCGATGTTGTCGCCGGGTTGGTGCTTCACATCTGACCCCGCACAACCCGTGCCACTAATTGAGGAAATTAACGAGCTGTTTATATTTCGCACACCCAAATGAAACCGTTGCGAATGCACCGTTTCCAAATCCAAATTTAAGCCAAACTAGTCTTTCTTTTGGCGATTAAGACGGCGAGGCAATTTATGGAAAATATAAAAAAGTCTTTACACAGATCTTTCCCAAATCATATTATAATGATATTTTAACTATATTTGAATTAATTTATTAGGGATTCTTTAATTACAGAAACTTGTTACTACTTGAAATCTTGAAAAACTTCTTCAAAGTATGTTTGTTAAAATGTATAACGTCCTGGAATAAAGTCAGGCCTTGATCAACCTTCAAGCATATTTTGTTGGTGTGGATTTTTGATATTGTTGTGATGGTAATGACATTTTTCAGTTTTTGTCGAAAAATCGAATAAAAGTTGGACTTGCTAAAGTAAGTTAACAGCTAATTAACTTTGGATTTTTGAATGAGTAACCAAATTGATTGTTTCTGAATTAAAATACTGAAATATTAATTAGTTTTGGTGAAGATGCCTAAATCTACTCTCACATATTTTTGTAAAAGTTGAAAATTAATGACATTTCTGTTCTTCAAGATTTCTGTCACTTATTATTTACATCATAACCCAGTTTATTTTTCGGTTCCTTGATAATTACATTGTAGCCTACATATAAATTTAAGTTAAGTAGGCCTATATGTTTTTAAGAAAAGGCATAAAGAAGGGAAGTTATGATGTCTGGGTAAGAAACATGCCTGAAATAGAGAAACTGTAGCAAATGTAGCATTTCAACGATCATAAAATTAGGAAAAAATTAAAGAAGCACAATACAGTATACACTTTAACTTTAAAGTAGGTATAATGCTATTTGAATCTGTTTTTTTATATTATTATTATTATTTAAACCCATCCTAGAGGACAGAATATTATTCCTAAATGAAGAATCACCTTTATAGGTTTTATTATTATTAATGTTATGCCATGACAGTTTGCAATTTTAGCATTTACAAAAATTGTCAGAAACATAACATAGCAGTGGCCTACTCATTGTAACACTGTAAAAAGTAACACTGAAAGGACATTACAACTATTCGTAACCGAGCAAACACACCTACAAGTGTTCCCAAACTTCAACTGTTGCCACCAGAATTAGCATGTCATTGTTCTTCCCATTGAACTGTTAATGTAAGCAGTTCTCTGTCACTCTCTCCACTGCGCATCTGCATTTTGTAAATGTAATTACTAACAGGTTTGTTTGGGCAAACTGGTGTCCAATGATAAATGTAGCCTAGTTGAAAGTATCAAACCAAGCGGCATCTGCAAAGAAATACTGCTTATCACTAACTTCACTTTTACTAGTATATTTTCAATATAACCAGCAAGTGATTTTTAATGGATTTATGAAATCAGTTCAGATAGGTGTAGTTCATCAACATGATCCACACTCTCAAAAATAAATGGATTGAAAAGTGTGTATTCGCAGCAAAGCCATTGAAGAAGCATTTTTAGTTCCGCATGCACAGAACCTGTCAGTGAACAGTTTTTAAAAGAACATTTTTTGTTTCTTAGTGTGAAGAACATTTTGATAATCTAAAGAACATTTTTTTCCACTATAAAGAACCTGCTGTGCAATGAAAAGGTTTCATGGATTTTAAAGGTTCTTCATTGAACCAGATAACAATAAAGAACCTTATTTTTTAGGAGTGCGCTGATGTCAACAACAACAACAAAGTGTCACACTACTTTTAATCTTTACTTTGCACCGCATATTTGTTGATTTATCATTTTAAATCGACCTACACATTTTGTTCATTAAAAAATAAATAAATAAGAATAATACAATAAATGTGGCTTATTTTAACATTTTATCTAATGGTCACATCTCATTTTAGATTCTCAGTGAAACTGTGAAAATGCCGGAGTTTGTGGCTTACGCAGCCAATCTGATTATCAGAAATATCTTGACCATGGTATTTATGACTGAACTATAGGGTAAAGCAACAGACAACTTATTTCACAGCAGTTAATCATTTTCAGATCAGTTCTGTACATTTAAGTACATTCATTCACTACATTCAGTGCACTTTCAGTACATTTATCTGCAGGCAGGAATGTCATGTGACATATACTTATTAACTTTCTATAATTGTATAGACACAGAACGTTGTTTTTGGGGTGAATGTCACCTTCACTTGTACATACTGTATGCGTACCAGATTTTCCTTGTCCATCCAGTATCTAAACAGCTTTAACATTACCCCTAGACAACATGGGGCCATAACAATTTGTTTTGTATTGCATGTAGTAATCACCAATTAAAAATGTTTAAAGGGGTCATATGATGTGATTTCAATTTTTCCTTTCTCTTTGAAGTGTAACAAGCTCTTGGTGCATAAAGAAGATCTGTAAAGTTGCAAAGACTAAAGTCTCAAATCCTCAAATATTCTTTATAAAAGTTAAGAGTCAACCACGCCCCCCTAAAACCTTTTATATTTAAAGAATTCGCCACTGACGATTCAAACGCGTGTTTTGAGCAGTGTAGAGTAGGGCTTGTAGTTTGTCATTTCTCCGATCACAAATGCAGACATGGTTTTATGTTTACGCGGAATAATGTTCTTTTTAGCAGCATCATATGACCCCTTTAAAATAATTTTGATATAAAGGATGGCATCATTTCAGTTCTGTAAAGGTTAAAACACTTGCATAAAAGCTCATGTAAAAATAAAACCCATGTTCATAATGTATGAATTAAGTCACAAGGTCAGTAAGTGGGTAAAATTTATATTTGCATCAAGAGCTTTAGCTGCTCCTAAATTAAATAATGAACACTTTCATATGTGAGGTCATGGTTACAACTCGCTCAAACTGTAGTATTGAGGCTGTCATGAATTAATCAGAATCACTGCATTAATATGGAGGCCTACTGTGTGTGTTACAACATGTATTTCTGCTTTGTTGATTTGTTTACATTTTAATTTTATTTCTGCTGTTTTCTGGTATTTTGATATTGTTAGACATAATTTTCCTCTTACAAATAAGAAATAAGTTGAATAACTGTTAAATAAATACATATATAATTATTAAAATATATTTCTTATAAATAATAAACATGTAAATATACATTTAGAATGCTGTATTTCATGGAATCTCACATAAAACACTTTTATTTTTGTGTCATGGTGTGGAAAACTTTTAGCATTTTTACACTTTCATTAAAACATGATTATTAAGTCATGTTGGCTGGTCTTCATATAGGCAATTTAAGGTGAAAATTCACCCAAAAATGAAAACTGACATCTTATTGACTTCCATAGTATGGAAAAATATACTATGGAAGTCAATGGAGACCATCAACTGTTTGGTTACCAACATTCTTCAAAATATCTTCTTTTGTGTTCAACAGAAGAAATTAATTCATACAGGTTTGGAACAACTTGAGGCTGACTAATGACAGATTCTTCATTTCTGGGTGAACTGTCCCTTTAAGGTTTAACTCTAGGGACATTTGGTCTTCACAAAGTTGGCAAAATCTGACCCACACGCATAGGAAGTGTTAAAACTGAAATGGCAAGACATTTATGAAATGGTGAGATGTGTGAAGATGTTCAGTTTGCATTAGGTACTTGTTTTAAATCATTTATTTATAGATGCATACATATGTTTTCATATAAATCGTTATAAAAGCAGTTTTAAAGATACTTAGGACAGAGATGTTGAGTTCTCCTGTTGCTGGAATGTTGCTGTACGTCCGACAAGCCCTTCTGTCCTAAACAGAGAATTAGAGAGGTCTGGATAAACCATGAACAAAATGCACAGACACTAATCTGTCCTATTCAAGGGTATCAAAACATTAAAGACATAACATACTGCTGATACAATCAAACATTCAAAAAAAATAATACATGGGCATAGTGAATGCATTAGGTATTAGATCTGAATTCAGAGCCTTTGACTCTTCATATGATGCCATATCACTCAAGCGGTGGTTATACTTACGCCTCTGTTATGAATGTCTCTTGTGATATTCTGTCATCACTGGCTCCTTCTGGGAACTCATTGAAATTCTTGATGCCAAGTGTCTTCAGTGCTGTTGGGAAGCCATGTTGTGCATATACAGAGTCATACCATTAGTATAATTCTTATACTCATGAATTGTAAACAAAACCATTTAAGTTTACATGGAAGTATTCAGGGAAATGGACTGTTAAAGTCACAGTGCATTCAGGTCATTCTTAGGGTCAGTTGTTTCCCCATGACTTACTACTTATACAATAAACAGGATACTGAACGCAGTCACATTATGAATAGAAATAGTTCACCCAAAATTTTTAATTTGCTGATAATTCAGTGACCTCGGGCCATCCAAGACGTAGATGTGTTTGTTTCTTCATCAGAACAGATTTGGTGAAATTTAGCATAACATCACTTGTTCACCAATGGATCCTCTGCAGTGAATGGGTGCCGTCAGAATCCAGCTAAATACATAATATTGCTTTCTCCAGTGAAAAAGTCGTCTGAATCAGGAGAGAAATATGCACAGATCAAGTACTGTTCACAAGCAAAAACAGTTCTAAACAAATATGTCAATGGATTTTGATGTGAGAGGAGAACAGAATTTTTTTTATAGAGGAAGCGTTATTATTGATTGTGGATTGGACGTTTGGTCAGAAGCAACAGTTCAAAGTTAAAATGCCTTAATGATGGATTATTTATTAGAAATAAGACTGCTTAAACTCTCATTCTGACGGCACCCATTCACTGCAGAGGATCCACTGGTGAGCAAATGATGTAATGCTAAATTTCTCCAAATCTGTTCTGATGAAGAAACAAACTCATCTTAACTCTCTTACTTACTGAAGAAAATAATCCACCAATGTGCAAGTCCCTATTTGATGCCATTACGTTTCAACAGGCTACATGTA